TCCCTCCCTCCCTCCCTCCCCCTCTCTCTCTCTCTCTCTCTCTCTCTCTCTCTCTCTCTCTCTCTGTGTGTGTGTGTGTGTGTGTTTAAAGAACACATTAAAACTCCGCCTTTAAATTCTATGGATTTTACACACATTTTTATATAAAATTTGCATTTTTCAATTATTTTCAATGCATTTCCCCATTAAACTATGCATTTTGTGCATTCTCTTTACATAAAATGTGGATTTCTGTACACACTTAGTAAACACTGAAACCACATTACAAAATCTGGCAAACTGTGTAATCTGACTGTGAAGTTGTGTTCTGATCTTTAGGCAAGTTCCGGCTTATTGCATTGGGCCAGTCTGCTGTTTAAAGCAGGCCTAACTAATTCCTTCTCCATCCTTACCCCTAAAGGAGTTGTGGATATAAGAGTTGTGACTCTTTCCAACTTGCCATGTCGTGTGTGGCTAAGTCTCAATTCACCTTCATCACCTGAAGCCATTTGCTTGCATAAACTTTCAGTTCCTGTTTCAATAGGAGCATTTATTATTGTTGTTGTTGCCCAGTAGGCCACAGCCATTGGGGTGCTGGACTCTGCCCCTGCCCCACCCACGTATAAAAGTGCGCTGGGGGGTAGGGGATGCCATACACCCCCTCACTGGTGGTGGTATCAGGTGCTGGGTTGAGCTGTTTTTAGGACTTCCTTAACCCTTGCAATATTATGAAGATTTCATTTCCCTTCACAGATGTATACAATCGGGTCATGTTGACTGGACGTTACATCAGCCCTGCTGAGTGTGAAACTAATGGGCAAATGAATGTCCCAAAATTTGTGCTCGCTAAGGAAACAGGGCGGGGCAGCATTTGTAGGACAAAATCAGTGGAAGGGGGTGGAAGCTTGATCCACTGGTTCTCCTAGGTTACTTTAAGTCATAGAATCATAGAGCTGGAAGGGACCCCAGGGGTCACCTGGCTCAACCCCCTGCAAGGCAGGAATCTCAATGAGATCATACCTGGCAGGGGCCCATCCAAGCTCTGCTTCTAAACCGCCAAGGAAGGAGAGTCCTCTACCTCTCATGGGAGTCTGTGCTACTATCAAGCAGCTATTACTGTCAGAAGGTTCTTCCTGGTTTTTTGTGGAAATCTCCTTTCTTATACAGTGGTACTTTGGGTTAAGAACTTAATTCGTTCTGGAGGTCTGTTCTTAACCTGAAACTGTTCTTAACCTGAAGCACCACTTTAGCTAATGGGGCCTTCTGTTCTCATCTTGAAGCAAAGTTCTTTACCCAAGGCAATATTTCTGAGTTAGCGGAGTCTGTAACCTGAAGCGTATGTAACCTGAAGCATATGTAACCCGAGGTACCACTCTAACTCCATTGGTTCAGGTCCCACACTCTGGAGCAGGAAAAAAACGAGCAGTCCTTGGAGTCCAGCTGTGAGAAAAATGATTTGGGGAGCATTTCAAGGGGAACAGCAGGCAGTTAACCACCCTCTGCCAGTCTACACTTTTGTACTGGAGCCAAACTGTATCTCACACTTTTTAAATTAAAGGTATAGTTAATACCAGCTCTTATTTTAAAGGAAGAGTGGCCGTGTGGGGGCATTGGTTAAGTTTTCACCAACCCCCTCCCTGGGTGCTATTTGTGCTCTAAGATCCTGCAGTATGAACATTGAAGAGCACAAAATTTTCAGTGGGAAACTAGCACAAGATCTCAATCTGGATGGGGGAACTGCATGTTTGCCTGATAAGCTGCAGTTCTTTTGGAAAACACAAACACTTGCACGTGCGCACACACAGAGGAGCTCTCTTTTTTCAACTGAGTGTTTAGGAAAGTGGTGATCTTTAATGCTTTATAGGCTGAGATTGGGAATGCAAAATCTGAGAGAAAATCTAATTGAAATCAGTAAGACTTGCATCAAGTAAATGTTCATAGGATTTTACTGTAAAATATGTAAAATTGTAATTGAAGACACAGAACTGAACTAATTTGGGGGGGGTTTCCTATATTTTTTCATAGGAGATCCAAGTGATTACCTTGTCATATGATTAACATAATTCTGCATACTGCGGTGCTATGCATTTGTATGGTTTTCTAGAAATGTAAAGCAAACCTGCAAAATTGGGTTTACTGTGATTGCTGTGTTTTGTTTTATTTTGTGAGGTTTGGCAACAAATGGACTCATGCTCCTATTTGTAGTAACTATGGAAACTTTAGAAGCACTCTCTTTCTAAGGCTGATTATACAATAAAGTGCTTAAAGTGTTGGTCGGATTATGGACTTCAGAATATGTTCAATTTTCTATCTGTCTTTTGGGTAAGAACAAGAGGGTAATGTGAATATTAATTGGGGACTCGCTTTAATCTCTCGTGACACTTAAGTCTGTATAGGTCTGCATCCAGCCATCCAGAAGTCTCAGGCTCACTCAGCATGTTAAGAGCAATCATACATATTCATGGCTCTCCATTGCGAGAGTGCACTAGGGAAGGAGAAAGCTGTGAGCAAGCTACAGCACACAAACCTTCCCCCAAGCAGGCATTATACTGGTAGTAGGAAACACAGAAGCCACGTGACACTTTATAATTTATATCATGGATTTCTTTTGTTTATAGCACTTGTATTGTTCAATCACACTCTACAGCAGTATATTTTAATTGTAATGTAATTTTAAGATCTCTGCCCTTGCAAATGTTTGAAGACACTCTTAATTAGCAGGCCAGATCATGAAGCTGATGTTCTCTACATGGTGGTCTTTTTAAAAAAATTAAAAGTTTATTGGCATAAACACATGCAGAATACACTAAACTTGAAAATGCTCTGTTAAAACAATGAGAATCCATACTGATGTTTATATTGATAACCTGCTTTTTCCAACCCTTTGTTTAGTTACTGAGAGCCCCTGTTCAGGGCCCCTATGCACTGGACTGGAGCAGGGTTGCCTGACATAGGCATGTCCATAAAGAAGTGCCTCCATGTGTCTGCCATACTGCTGGTGGCATTTCTGCTGGTGTTTCAGGACAGGGCAGAACTGGGCTGGTTAGGGATCTGCTGCCATTGTGATGGCAACAAGTCTGATCCATCCCTTCTTCATGGCTCCTGCCCTTCCACTCCAGCCAATATGTGCGGTGGGACTGTGGATGGGACAGTGGCTCCATCGCTCTATTAAGCCCTGCTGCTGCAAGTCTGAGTCACTCTCTTATAATTAAAACTATATTATTTGGTACTCATGTTTATATTGTGGGTGCAATAAACCCTTTTGGATTGTCCTAACATGGCAAATATCCTCAATGGTCTAATTTTTCATATTAAAAGCAGACAATTGTACATTGCAACCAGCTTTTAAAGAAACAACTTCCTAGCATTCTTCCAGAAAGCTATACTCAAGTCAATCAAATGCTAATAATGTGCTGCTGAGTGTCATGTGACCATAATTAGAATCTGTGACACTTGGAGATCCCATTGATCACTATCCTTTTCTGCCAAGTTGACAATATGGTACAGCTCTCTGAAAAGGTCTTCATGTTCTCTGTGCTAGTAGTGAATAAAATCGGTGGAGCTCTGCTTCAAATCTGTTCTTGAATTAACATATTGCCAAAATAGCATTAGCTTGGGTAAACTAGCACTATGTTACTTTCCACTGCCAGACTACATGGCTGTCTTTGTTTCCCTCCTCTGCATTATATCCATCTACTTACCTTTCCTCATTTTGTTAATTAGGGCAAATCTCTGGTCATAAACAGTTGTGTTTCATGCTTTGGTCTAAGGTTGTTAGAGGGAATTCACAGTAAAAATTAGTCTAGTATACTCGAAGATCCAACTTCAACTAGGCTTTTCTTGTTTATTAAATTTACATGGGATACACAGCAGTGGTCCATGTTGATCAATACTCCTCCATACTTTTCTAGTCTTCTCTCTTTTGACTGGTATTCTTGCCACACCCAGACTCCAGACAGCTCTGCTTATGCCCTGCAGGTGAATGGCCATGTGGAACTTAGCAAGAAACTATGAAGGATATGAGTAAATTATGCACAGCTTTCTCTTGTATGTGAAGCTACATGTAGCAAATAATTGGTGCCCTGCAGGCATTTTGTTCTTGCATGGAGAGTTGGAATTCCTTGTCTCCTCTGTAGGTGTTTTTGAGAGCAATTACATTCTGTGACATAACACCTTGCTTGCAGCATTTAAGCAAATAGTTTTAATGGAATGCTCAGGATGTAGTTTATTGATGATGATGGAAATTATTAAACCCGGATCTAACATTTGCCTGAAACTTTGCTTGAAGGGAGACCACCATGAAAGAGGAATGGATCATTGCAGGCTATCCTAGCTCTAAGTGTCTTTCCAAAACCAGTAGTTATAGTTTGGTGACTTTAAAAAGGTAATTCATTTTTCATTTTACAGAAGCAACACATGTCAAGAAATAACTTAAATATTATAAACAAAGTACAACCAATAATCCTAAAATATAAGTATACATGATAGAACATATTAAAATATGGAAAATATGCTTGCAGGCTTCCCATTGTCATCTTATTCACCACTGGGAACAGAATTCCAGACTAGTCTGGCCTTTGGCAAGACCTAACAGGCTCTGTTTATGTTTATGCTATTAAAAATATAAGGGGGGGGGAGATTTTGGTCTGGATGCATTTTTCTTACACCTAATTTCCTGCATTAAAACCTTCTTCCATACTAGGTTCATGTTGAATATTTTGGTCACACATTTGATTTTAACTATAATTCTGTACATAGTCATGAGAGCTTCTACTTTGTCCTTCATAGCAGTGGCATACACGTAGCTGAGTACAGGACCATGGCCTGTTTTTCTGATATCTGTGAACTGGCATTCCCTTAACACAGACTTTTGGGTGGTTAAAGTGACTTTTGTAAATGAGAATATGGATTTAATCAGTCTGTTTAATTTATTGAAATACAAGTATTTGTAACATGTGCCGCATATTATATACATTAACTGGAAATGAACATGGGATAAATTCCTTAACTCTTTTCAACAGTTGTAAGCCAGTGGGCAGTATATACAATTCGCAACCTCACAGAACAGAATGAAAGAAACCAAGAACTCATTGCACGGATGGAGCAGCAGGGACTGGCTGACAATTCTGTCCTGGAGAAGATGGGATTGAAAGTTGAGAAACGAGATCAGAAGTTGATTTTGAGATCCAGTGGAAAGACACCACATCTATAAGCAAACTGAATGGTTTTCATCTGTTTTGCTGTGAATACGATACCAATGTAGTATAAAATAGACTCTCAACCAGATTGTTGGCATTATTTCTTACCAAAATCAAAGGCTAATTTTAAACCTTCCTAGATTGAATAAAATGTTAGTACCAAATAAACTGCAAATCCCAAATTATGGATACCTGGCTGATAATGTTTTCACTCTTTTGTTCCATTAATTAAAAATATAATGTATCTACCAAACTAATTCATAGCTGCTAGATGCCTGGAGGCAGTTGGAGGATGGATGGCGGCTAACAGATTGAGATTGCATCCAGACACGACAGAAGTATGGTGTGGGTGGGTATGGGGGACACTGAGAGCCAGTGTGGTGTAGTGGTTAAGAGCGGTAGACTCCTAATCTGGGGAACCGGGTTCGCGTCTCCGCTCCTCCACCTGCAGCTGCTGGGTGACCTTGGGCCAGTAACACTTCTTTGAAGTCTCTCAGCCTCACTCACCTCACAGAGTGTTTGTTGTGGGGGAGGAAGGGAAAGGAGATTGTTAGCCGCTTTGAGACTCCTTAAGGGGAGTGAAAGGCGGGATATCAAATCCAAACTCTTCTTCTTCTTCTTCTTCTCTGCTCATAGCTGTCCATGGAGGTGCAGATCAATTCTGTGTCCAGGGCAGCTGTTTACCAGCTCCATCTGGTATGCAGCCTGAGACCCTACCTGCCCGCCGACTGTCTCGCCAGAGTGGTACATGCTCTGGTTATCTCCTGCTTGGACAACTGCAATGCGCTCTGTGTGGGGCTACCTTTGAAGGTGACCTGGAAACTGCAATTAATCCAGAGTGCGACAGCTAGACTGGTGACTGGGAGCGGCCGCCAAAACCATATAACACCAGTCCTAAAGGATCTTCACTGGCTCCCAGTATGTTTCCGAGCACAATTCAAAGTGTTGGTGCTGACCTTTACAGCCCTAAACAGTCTCAGTCCAGTGTCTCCACCTCCAACATTCAGCCCAGACACTGAGGTCCACTTCCAAGGGTCTTCTGGTGAGAAGTGAAGTTACAAGGAACCAGGCAGAGGGCCTCCCTGTGAAACGCCCTCCATCAGATGCCATGGAGATAACTACATAACTCTTAGAAGACATCAGAACTTGTATCAGGAAGTTTTTAAAGTTTGACACCCCCCCCCCTATATTTTGCCAGAAGCCACCCAGAGTGTCTGGGGAAATCCAGCCAGATGGTTGGGGTATAAACAATATTATTAGTATTCATATTATTTGTATTAGTATTTTCATCTAAAGCTGCAAAAAAGGAAGCTTACCTCCAAGTGTATGAAAAGGTGGGAGATGAATATGTCTGCCTGCAATAATGCATTTTTTCCCTTGTGTAAACACAACATATCAGACTCTTAATCACTCATGAATTTTCTGTCCTCACTTTAGGTGAACATGAGAAGCCATCTTCTGAGGAATTACTGAAATATGCCCTCATACATTTCAACCATTAGAATTGTTTGTCGCTCTTTTTATTTATTACAAATATCAATTTATCATTGCAAAAAACTGATACACTATTTACACATCAGAGTTCTTCTGTAATTTACCATTTGCAAAGCAAATAAAAAAATGCAGAAGCTGCAGCAGCAGCAGCAGGTGTTAGGTTTAACTGTCCCAGGGCTTGTCTCTGTTTCTAGAGAACTGGATGTTTGTTTGAATTTTATTTGTTCCCTTGGTAAGTCAGCCCACTTACCCTTTTATTATTATTTTGCTTCTCATGAGCTTTTTCTAAACTCTGGAAGACTTAAGAGGTAGTTTCTCACTGTGATTAATTCTAGCAATTTCTTTTCACCCCGTGCCTTCCCTAAACATTGACAAAACTCATTTCCAGTTAATTAATTCAAGAGAGGCTGAAGAATGGAAAGCTCTGCCTTTCTATTTTGGATACCATTCTGTATTGTTGTTGAACTCTGCCACTGTGGAATGTGGCATGAATGAGATGGGTGGGAGAGAGACAGTGGTCAATTAACTCCCTGTGCCCCAAATTCATTTTCTCAGGTAAAAACAAAAACCAGAACAAATTAATTCTTAATACAGTATTTTTAATACGCTTCCTTCAGTTTCCAAACTTTGGGCATGTGTTCCAAAAATTTGTATTATTTTAAGATAAGCTACTGCAGCTTCCCTCACATAATAACGTGGTTTGCCTTAAGTTGGAATAATCAAACACATGTTATTAACACCGACCGTCTTCTCTCTCATGCATACCCACCCCAATAAAGCAGAAAAGGAATGTGATTTAATGAATGCACAAGCAATATATTCCTTTTTTTTAATGGAACACATGGGAGAGAACAGAAGGAAGTTCAGCTAAGTATTTGGCATAGATGAAATATTTCCATAAGAAGACCAGGGATGCTGTCATATGCCCTGTAAGTTGAACCACACAATTCCAGTGGTGATTTCCCCCCATGATCAGCACAGCTTCATGGTGGCAGTAACATCTCACTAGGCACAAATATGTTGACAGGCACTTCTTTCAAGTGATGTGAGCATGCTGGAAGGAGGAAAATCTGCCATGCATTTAGCATTTCAATTGTGCTTAAACAAAAAACATAATTCCAGTGAGAAATTGGGCTACTTTTGTATAAACTACTTCCATTTCACTGGGGCTTCTCTGTAAGTAATCCATACTTTTGTTGTGGTTGTCATGGGAAATAAAAGTACAGCTGTAAGAGAATAAAATCTCAAATTATGCATAAGAACTCGTGCTCTAGTAAAATAAAATTGTTCATAACTTTATTCTCTAATGTTTCTTTTCACCCTTTTCAATATTTATTTTAGTTTTAGTGGAGAATGTTGAAAAAGACGGTATTACAGATTCAACTGGAATTTTGAAACTTCAGCATTGTAATCTTATGTGTACCTGAGGCTATAATTGTGTTGAGACTTACTTCTGAGTAGACAGGCAAAGTGTTGCACTGTAGATATTTGCAACTGATAGTTAATATTTAAAGCATGTTTCTGGAAAATGGTTGCTGGAAGGAAAATGCAGTTCAGAATGACAGTAAAAATTGTGTGCAACAAGTATACCCAGATGGCACGCAATATTTTTAAAAATGCGTTCTGCTTTTCCTCCTTTGTGTCAGTGGCTGCAATTGAAGAGTGTTGACTTGTGGGCTCTGCACATGCCCATGGAATCAGGAAGCACAGAACTGTAGTTGGGAGGAACCCCAAGGATTAACTAGTCCATGAATAAGAGGCTAGGAAGAACAAATAGATAGAGAAGCATTTTCTCCTTTGTTTGTTTGTTGAAAATATGTAATGGGTAAAATTTTAGTTCTAAGTAGAGAATGCACGGCTTTTACAGTGGAAACCATGCTGATTACTGTATTGAGGTTGATCAGCTCTTGATTTTCCAGGATGGATTAATTCTTTTGAGCACAACAGCTTCCCTGTCCTCCTTCCGCGGTCTTGTGTTTTCTGAGGGGTGTGCTTTGCAGGCTTGAGGTTTAATATAGGGCATCAACTAATGATAGGAAAATGCCTTAACAAGATTGAAAGGAAAGAGAGTAGTCAGATCAAGGCTTGTGGCAATCTTGCTAAACAAAAGAGATCAGTTTTCTCCCCCTTTTCTTTAAAAGCAAGTGAGGATTTGGGTTTTCATGATAATGGGTAACTGAATCCTCGCAGAAAGTGTGTGCTATCAGATAGAAAAATCAGATAGAAAGGTATGAATCCATTATTTAATTGAATTGTACACTGTGCCTTTTGGTAACTGTTGACTTGCTGTGGGCTTTTAAAAAATGCCATTATAAAGAAATATTTCTAAATTATTTCCCTTCACTAACAATTATTCTTTAAAAGCAAAATCAGTCTGAAGCTGACTGAAAACTGGTTTTGTTTTGAAATATGTTAAATATTCCTTAAAATGCTTCCTTAAAATGCTTCAGAATGCTTCTAATTTTGTCATTCTGGCATGGTAGGTTCCACAGTATAAATGCATCTTACATGAAATTCAATATTTGGATCAAAATGGAAGATTGTAAATTCAGAATTTCATGAAGCACAATAAATGCAGAACATCTTGGGGCAAAATAAGATGAACAGTCTCTGCAGTGCTGTCCAAGGTTCTGATAAAATGCTTCTCTGAAGAGTATTTTTGTCCTTGAAAGGCTTAAAATATTAGAAAATCTTTGGGGAAAACAATGGAGTTTTTTGGTTTGCTTTTTTGCAGTTTCTTTACATGATGACACAAGGGTATTGCATATCTGTTTTGGTCGGCACTTTATTGGCATTAGTGCCGACCAAAACAGATATGCAGAAATTTCTATCAGACATTCAATTTACAAAAGCTTTCTTTGGGTGGCTGCGGCTTTAATTAAAATTCCTTATACAGAAGGATAATTTCCTCTTTTTCCCACATTAAATTTAAAACTAAAAATAACTTTTTGGCCTCCCACCTCCCCAAGGTATGAACTTTTAAAAAGTCAAACTCACTTTAGAATGCTGACATGATCTTCAGGGTTTTTCTTTATACTGAGAGTCCAACATTTGTATTGAACTTTTCCACAGATCTTTAGGAACTCTTATCAAAACAAGATAAAACAACATTTTCAAGTTTACTGACATGCAATATCAGGCAAACGATTATTAAAGAGGAAATGAAAACAAACACACATTTTCCCCATGCTTACTTCTCCTTCCTCTGTTTCTCCTCTGTGAATTTCACGCTGCAAGTTCTTAGGAGCAAGGAGCTGTGCTCTTGTACAGCACCAGGCACATAGATGACGCTGCGTATTTATTCTCTCAGTTTCAACTGTGAGCCCAAAGGGACTTTTCAATGCGACAGCAAAAATGCATATCAATACACCAGTATGCTAACAGTCTAATGCTAATTCACTTCAAAGCATAATGCAACAATCCAAATAGTTTATTTTGATAATTGAGTATTTTAACATTTTTAATTCATTATAAAACAAACGGAATCAAATGTTGTATCAGAGTCCTAGGACAAGGTTGGGTGGTGGTGCAATCATCAATTACCGTATTTTTCATCCCATAGGACGCTCCGCCCCATAGGACGCACCTAGTTTTTTGGGGGGGAAATAAAGGGAAAAATTTTTCCCTTTATTTGCCCCCCAAAAAGCAGGTTGGGAAGCCGAACCAGGTTGAGGAACAGCGGGGATGGCGGCGCT